GCATTTTGGATTTTCTCCAATCCACACAAGGTCCAGAGTATAAATACAATCATTTAAATATTTAATAGATATAGTGCCGAATGTTCTACATTGTCTTTAAGTTTGACAAGGCCAAGGTGTGTTAACTCCTCTCCAATAATCATGTTTGACTACTACTGGTAGTTTCTCTTTGTCAGCTTTGTCAGCTGACTGACCAATGCTCATAACAATGGGAACGTCTAAAGAACCAAATGAGGATCTAAGAAGAAGAATTGTAGATTTACACACATTGGGAAAATCTCTTGCAGTCGTTTCTGAACAAATGCAGATTTAGAAATCATCAGTTCATTTTTCCGAGATCTGGAAGAAGAACAAAGTTTTATGTTCAGACGAGACAAATATGGAGCTCTTTGCCCTCGCTGAATAACAGGTATGTTTATAGGTATAAAGGTGAGGCTATAAACCTAAGAACACTGTACCAGCTGTGAAGCATGGTGGTAGCATCATGATCTGGGGCTGTTTTGCTGCTAGTTGTACTGGTACATACATGGGTGAACCGTGGACACAGTTGGGTATTCCAACAGGACAATGATCCCAAACACAGATTAAAACTGGTTTTGGAATGGATAAATTTAAGCTAATATTAAGCCCGACCTCAACCCTACTGAAAATATGTGGACTTCACTTCAAAAGCTGGGTCTGTCCCAGGAAACGTATCAATTCTGCCAAGAAAAGTGATCAAATATCAAGTTAGTATTATGACAGAAGCTTCCCACATAGCAAGCAGGTCTGGCCCGGATCTGGTATCAAGCCGGCACTGCTGACTGACTTCTGGCATGATAAGACGTATGTCATCCAGATAAGGGTCAGGCCTGGCATAGATGGCACTGTCTATGTGATGGCAGCCACACCTAGCCCAATTGTGGTTTGGTGTATGTGGCCCAGGCTCATAGAAAACAGGTCTGGCCCAGATCTGGCATCAAGCTAGCACTTCTGACTGACTGGTGTCATGGCAGGGTGTATGTCAGCCAGATGTGGGCCAGGTCTGGCAATGATGGCACTATTTATGTTCCTATTTTCCTATTTTAGTTAGAAGACCCAAATGCCATGTTGCAATACTATACTGCTATGGTTTCAAATGCAGGTTTGACAGGTTTGTGAGTGTACACTTAATCCAAAACCTAGTGAGAGTTTGCTCAGGTTTACCAGTGGGTGGCTGTAGCTCAGGAGGTAGAACAGGTCACCTACTGATCGGAAGGTTAGTGGTTCGATTCCTGGCTCTTCCAGTCTGCATATCAAGAGTGTGAATATAGTTAGGAAGCACTCAGCTTAGAGAAAGCGTGGTGTGATTGGGTGAAGGTGGCATGTTGTATAGAGCACTTTGAGTAATCTGGGAGAGTAGAAAAGCGCTGTGTAAGATTCAGTCCATTCACTGTCTGAACAGAGTTTTGTTATGTTGTTTTTGCACTATTATGTTCTGGCACATGTTGTTATTACATGGCTTGATTAAGGTACACATTAGGCTGACATCTGGGGCCCACATACTGCAAAGAATGACGGCCCTTTGGTGGCCCAGATCAGGTTTGCCAGAGGTAATCCACACATGGGCCAGCACAGGACTACCAGTGTGTCTGCAACTGGCCTTGTGCTGGCCCATGTGTGGGCCAAATCTGGCAAACCAGATCCGGACCATACCAATTTTGCTATGTGGGTTGATGATGGCTATCAAAAGCTTCTGGTTGACGCATAACTTGCTAAGGGACATTTAACCAGATATAAGTGGGGGTGTTTTGATCTGTGTCGATTAGAGAAAATTCAAAGCAGATTGCAACTTGTGCACCCAATTCTTGTTTTTCAAAGTCATTTAATATGCTTTATGCTGTAAAATCATTCCACCCTGGAAAAAGAACAGTTCAAAGAAATCATTAAAAGCCCAAAATCACCACAAAGTTTGGGCCCATGATGATTGGCTGTACATTTCTGACCACAGCTTTAGTTGCTATTACTGCTGCTGAGTTCTTGGTACAATTGACTGTTAAATCTTTAAGTCCATATTTCTACATAGGGCTGTGTGTTCAGTATCATTATATCCGCTCAAATATGAAGCAGTAAAGCCAATATTAAGTCTCATTGGTGGATTTTCTTGAGCTTCCTGTATAAATCCTCAAATAGCTTTATTATTCTTCCTTTCAGTCCACCCAGACCAACCCGTTCCAATACACCGCAAATGCTTCAGCAACAGCATTTCATTTCACACCACCGCCTTGTTTTGTTGCTGCTAGTCGCTAATTATGCTGCCTTTCCCAAGTGTTTGGCTGTGTGTGTGCTAGAGAGAGGTAGAGGCTGTGGTTGGGAGGGTGAGGTCGGATTCCTGATCTCTGTCCGGTCTTGTTGGAGGATTCCAGGAGACTGCTTTCAGCCTCAGGATATGTGTAAAAAGACTCAGGTGACGACAAGATAACGGTCTTGAAAGTTAACTGAAACAGAAGTTTGAGAGTCATACAGTTGTTCACACCTTCCCTTTTCACACATTGTTAATGAATAATGTTCCACATAGCAGCACTATTGACATTTTCCTGTATCTATCTTTTTATGTTCTTTCTAAGACTGTTGAATTGTTTAGGTACATTAAAGTGTAAAGATATTTGTGTTGACCTGAAGATTAATGCTACTGACTTGTAGTAACTCCACATGGTTGACATTGTGGTTTTAGGAAATTTGTTTCTACCACTTCTGTTTGTATTGGTGTTAGAAGTTATTTGGGATGTAAAAAGAGCCTCTCAATGTTCGCCAGGCACTCTTCAAACATGAGTGTGAGCTTAGAGGTTAGTTTAGTTTAGCAAAGTTGAAATCTGTGCGAGGCTGAAAACCAGTCATAAATGGTTATGTCCTTTGAGCCAACAGGTGGAACTACATTAAAAACAATTACAAACAGATATTATTCAGCAGCGGAAATCACTACAAAGCCTCAGAAAGACTTCTAAAAACTATTGTCAGTGAAAACAGTTGAGTGCTGAATCCATTGATCTAAGTTAAATGTCCCTTTTAAGTATTCTTTTGGCTTTAAAGGCCACTACAGTCGATGATCTGCCTCCATTTCGCCCAATCCATGACATCCTCCTCTGTAACACCAAACTTTAACCTGCTGCTTGCTTTCCATCAGCTTCACTGTTACACCTGTCTCCCTCTCATTCAAACGAATGTATTAAGTCTTGCTTCTACTGACTTTCACTCCCCTTCTATCCAGTTTATACCTCCACCTCTCCAGCCTCTCTTCCACCTGCTCCCGACTCTCACTGCATGTCACAATGTACTCTGCAAACATCATCAGATGACACTCCTACCTCACCTGTCAGCCACTCCATCCCCACTGCAAGAAAGTAGTAATCCCACCCCCACCTTGAACCCATCTGTCTTGCTGTCCTCATGCATGTCCTGCACCACCCTCACATACTTCTCTGCCACTCCTAATTTCCTCATGCAGTGCCACAGTTCGTCTCTTGATACCCCATCATATGTTTTCTGTAAATCCACAAAGACGCAGTGAAGCTCCTTCCAACCTTTTCTATACGTATCCATCAACACTTTCAAAGCAGGTATCACATCGGTGGTGCTCTTTCTCAGCATGAAGCCATCCTGTTGCTCACTGATCGTCACCCTCTTCTTAGCCTTGCTTAACAACTCTTTCCCCCAGTTTCATGGTATGACTCATCAACTTTATCCTTCTGTAGTTACTACAGCTCGGCACATCACCCTGTGCTGTAAAAATAGGTACCATTACACTTCTCATGCACTCTGTAGGTATTCTCTCATTCTCCAGAATTGTTGAACACTCTGGTTAAAAAGTCTCATAGACATCTTCATACATCTACCTCTTCAAAGGACAACAAAAACCAAGATGCTGAAACACTGCAGCATTCTCTGAAAACTGCTGTGGTCTAATTAATCAAAATCTGAAAATCTTTTCTGGGAATCATGACATCATCCCAGCTAAAGAAGAGACAGATCATGTGACCTGTTATCAGTGAACAATTCAAAAGCATATCTGATGGTACGACAGTACATAAGTGCACCCGTCTGAAGTGCTGCACATTTTTGAGTACATGTGCTAACGTCTACACATCTTTTTCAAAGGAGAGCTTTACATATTTCAGTAAGACAACATCAAATTATTTGGCGTGTGATGTATGCTGGAAGGCTCTGTGGAAACATGCAACCACTGAATACATCTGGATAATTCTGAAACAAAGGAGTCCATAAACCATTTCAGACAGCTGGAGACCAGCAATTCTTTTTTCTTTTTCTTTTTAAATTAGTATCATATTTTTATAAAGGTAAAAAGTATCTCTGTGTTGCCTTTAGTTATTAAATATAAGGTTGGATTTTAAAATAAGTTTTTTCAGATTACAGGTTTATTATATTACTATTGTGCTATTATTGCCTCCTTTGCCGCTAGAGGCCACTCGTCACATTAGGAACCTTTGGGGCTTCCGTCCCTTTTGTGTCACGTGACATATGTCAACAAGGAAGTGGGCTGTGTCTTTGAATACAAGGCGCCAGTAGCCGTTCCTAGTCAACAAGTGAAAGGTAATCAGCATTATAGGACATCCACACAACTTCTCTTTACATTTCTGTCTGATCTAACTGTCTGTACACACGTCTTTGAACCCGCAGAGCTCCCGTAGCTTGTTTGAAAAACTTTATTTGGGGTTGACTTTATCTTACACAGGCTAAATCGATTCCTGCTTTTCCCGACAGATCCCGAGGGATGCCCGCCACCGAGCCGGTCCGGTTGGGTCGGAAACGCGCCCTGCCCTCGTGCCCGAACCCGCTGTTCCTCAAGTGGCTCACCGAGCTCCGGGACGAGGCGAAGGAGAAAGGACTGAAGATCCAGTACACCTACCAGAAGGTACAGAGGATGTAGCGGTTAGCAGGGGTTAGCACTCTCGCCTTAAAGCAAGAGGGATCCTAGTTGGCTTCTGGGTGGAAGCCTACCTCAGCTATCACTGGGTACATCCTGGGCCGACAGTCCACCACAGGGCTAACACACAGACACAGGCACACCCAAGGTCAATTTAGAAACACCAGTTAATCTGAAATGCATGCATGGACTGTGGGAGGATGCTGGAGTACCCAGAGAGAAGCATGCAGGC